CTTGTAGTTCAGTACTGAGAAACACACGTTTTATAGCTTAGCAAATGTGTTAATCACAAACAGTAATAACTCAATGAGCCTTTACTAACAAAAATTCCTTTGTAAATACCAAGAACAAACATGATAACTCTGGTACTCTCCCTAATTAATGTGTGCACTGGTATTTCCCTTTACATTGGGAAAAATGTACATGTATTTATAGGTTCGCACATTTATATTGTAGATGTTTTATGTTCTATGTTTACACGTGTTCATGTACACGGCTACAGTTTGCACTTGATGGTACATTTATAACCACAAGAGAGAGAGAAAAAAAAATATCTGCCATCACGGAAGACTTACTAAAGCAAAACAGTGAGGGAGGAAGTTCACAGTGCAAATACGTAGAGAACCAGTCAACCACTCAACCTCATATTCACATGAGAGCGAGAGAGAGAGAGAGAGGTGCGGACGGAACTGAGCAGTAACTGAACATTGAGCTGGCTCTGTTAGAAGAGTTATTTAGTTATCAGGAACACTGCATGCTGAAACTGAGTTTTTATGCATGTGTTTGTGTGTGGAGCTGGACTGGAATTAGGATTTTTAATATTGGATATGATGCTCAACTGACATAAATATGGATTGGACTTCATGGATTTCTTTTTTGTTCACATTAATAATCATCCCAGTTTACATAGCAGGTAAGATTTATTTATTTATTTGTTTATTATAATTTTTTTTTAAAGCTAATGATTCATTTTGCTAGGTTATATATATATATATATATATATTATGTGTGTGTGTGTGTGTGTGTGTGTGTGTGTGTGTGTGTGACAATAATGTATTTTAATTTATAATAATATCAATTAATTATATCAAATATTATTTGTACATTTGTACATTAAATATTCATAAAAATAATATCCACAATACTGAAAATGCTAAATAAATATAAAGTGCATGTGGGCGCTTGACTTGAAGTCCCCAGTTTCGGTCACAGCGATGACGTGAGTGATGTAAATTCCTTGCCAAATTCGGATGCCCCCGCAGTAACCTTGAAACCTCTCAAAATGGATATATAGCAAAGACAATCTGTATTTATTTATTTAACTCTTTATTTGACAAGGATATCGATTATAAACTCTGACTCTAGTGAATATCCGTCAGGTTCCTCAGGTGTTAAAACCAACCTTTATTCCTTCATTGTTAAAACCACCATAGAAAATACAGTTAGAGAAAACAGAAATTTGTGTAATTGGATTTGTTGCTCAACCCCCAACTAAATAACCCCGGGCTTCACCAATACATTGTATTGCACAGCATTGTGTAAGTTCTTTTGGGGAAAATTTGGGTAGGTGGTTTGCTTGATAAAGCAGACATCCATTTAAGTAAAATGAGTAAAGAGAAGGTGTTGTCATGTCACCTACATCTGGAAAGTACAGCTGATCATGATTTGTTCACAATAAATACAGTACCTCAAGTGTGAGACTTCAGCTTTGACTGGAACAAGTGCAAATAAACCACTTCTCTATTGGGAAGAGATGAGCATTGATTCAAAGTATGGGGAAGGGTGAGAATAATTCTGATAATTTTTCTCTTTTGTTCACAGGTGAGCAGCTGGAATTAAATGTGAAGTTAGACGTATGGGAGGGAAATGTAACTGTGCTCTGGGATCCCCCTAAAGGAGCCCCCGTATATGCCCTTTATCAAGTAAACACAGCACTGTAAGCAGACATGTTGTCCTACTATCCTTCAACCAGTATAATACAATATATATAGTATTGTATTCACAGTTGCCAAAATATTATTTTAGTTTTTGCCCACCTTCTTTGCTTCAACAAAATTTACAATACTCCAAAGCTAATATACTTGTCTTTGCTTTGATAGAGATAAAGGTCCTGATGCTAAGTGGGACACTGTGCCAGAGTGTAACATGACAACAGAAACTAGATGTGAACTTGGGAACTTTATATACAAACCTTCAATGAAATTAAAGATCGGACTGTTTGAAGGAAATTATAACTTGTCCTGGTCAGCAGTAAGACGAATTCATTTATTGGACAGTAAGTATTTGCAGGACCACTATTTACCAAAAAAAGTGTAATAAATACAACTACCACATTCTTATTAAGAACATCAGGGTTTACTGTCTACAAATTGCACAATTGGTAATGGTGATCTTCCATGTTTTAGGCAAATTGTTGGCTCCAGAGTTTGACCTGTCTTCCTCCCCTAATACTGTGAAAGTTAAGATTTACAGAAAGCCTTTTCTCAAAGATCTTTTTGACTATGGCCCAAGTTACTCTGCTAGTCTGTATCCCAAAGGACAGGAGAGTGAGGTTGGTTTTTTAGTGGACTAGCCCACATTTTTTTTGTTGAAAAAGTTACAATAAATGAAATTGCTTATTATATTGCATGCCATTGAGATCTCTAAAGCTGTGTTTTCCCTGATGTAGGCTTTAACAGTACCTGATGATGATGAAGATGGCGAGGTGGAGTTCACTTCATTGCCGTTATGGCAGGAGTATTGTGTTCATGTGAAAGTGGAGATGGCATCTAATGATTGGAGCAACACGTCATTACCACACTGCATATATCTATCAGCAGGTACTATACAGTAGATCACATGGACACCATTTAAATAACTAATAATCATCTAATTTTTTCAGAGGTCTCTCAAATAGAAGAAGAATCTGATGCTGTTTTTATATAATGCCAACAAAATATTAAAAATGAATCCGTATTTATTTAATAAGCATTATGTAGCACAAAATAAACCCTTCAGGGTGATTTAAGACCCTTCAGCTTCGTGTGTGTGTTTGTGTTTATTGGGTATGGTTGTTGGGTTTATTATTGCCTATGTATGTTCCTAAAATTATTTCTATGTGAAATTGAAATCACTTTCTCTTGTTTGTCAGATACGTCCCTGTTGATCTTCATAGCCGTTATTGGTGTAGTTGGTGCCATGTCCTTCTTCATGTTCGCAGTCTGTTTCTTTCTGAGGCGTCCTGGTAAAATGCCTGCTGTTCTGGTGAGTCAGCTTGGGTATTTTAAAATAAATGCAGTTTTTTTCAAAACCAAAAGTGTTAGAGCAAGCCAATTTCAGGGTCTTAAAAACGAAATACATTCTAAGAAGAAAAGCTCCCTGTCATAAGTATTGGTTCTCCTTTCGAGGAACAGTAGCAGAAAAGAGAAATGCTGGGGATTTTTCATGACTTGCGTATCTATCATCTCAGTGATGTTTGGTTCTAAATGATCAGACAATTCCATTCAGAATTAAACTATTTTAACACTTTGTGGTTGTCAAATCAATAAATACATTATGTACGCATATACCTGTATGTATTTGCAGATTTTTAAATGTTTTTGAAAAAAAGTGGTTACCAAAACTGCATGTATTTGATAAAAAAATGCAGTAAAAACAGCAATATTGTGAAATATATATATATATATATATATA